CGTGACACTCCTGTTTGTAGGATAGATAGGATATATGTATAGTCGTCATGGCACTCTCTTTTGTAGGATAAGATAAGGATACGTAGATAGTCTTCCTGATATTCCTGTTTGTAGGATGCATAGATATAGAGGTAGTCGTCTTGTGACTCTCTTTTGTAGGATAAGATAGGATATGATAGGATGTCCTCGTGGCACTGCACGGGTGTTCGGTAGGATAAGATAGGATAGTAAGATAGTTCCTCATGATCCTGTTTGTGGATGATTAGGATTATAGAGGATAGTCGTCTTGTGACTCTGCTTTTGTAGGATAAGAAGATGGATATATACAGGATGGTCCTCGTACACTCTGAGTAGGATAAGATAGGATGATAAGATAGTTCCTCATGATCCTGTTTGTAGGATGAATAGGATATATAAGGATAGTCGTCATGGCACTCTCTTTTATAGGATAAGATAGGATATATAGGATGGTCCTCGTCGCCTATGTTTGTCACAAGAATAAGGATATGTAAGATAGTCCTCATGATATTCTGTTTGTAGGTTCATAGGATAGTATAGGATAGTCCTTACGGCTTCCTGTTTGCTAGGATAAGAAAAATGATATATAGGATAGCATGGCACTCTTTTTCGTATAAGATAGGATATACAAGATAGCTCTCACGTGCTCTTTTGTAGGATAGATAAGATATATTGGATAGTCTTCATGGCACTCTCTTTTGTAGGATCAGATAGGATATATAGGATACTCCTCATGCACTTCCTGTTTGTAGGATGATAGGATATATAAGGTAGATAAGGAGAGAGGGTGCCAAATTTTGGTACAGCTGGCCGAATAAAATTAATATTCTATGATGATTTTAATAAAAAGACGATGATGGTGACGACAAAAAATGAGTTTGTGAAAATTCAAGGAATATTGAAATGAATATATATCATGGGAAAAGAAATGAATAAAGTGATGACTACTAATTGGCATAATGGTAATGATAGTGATGAATATGATGATGATGATGATGATGACGATGCTATTATTACTACTATGAAGAAGAATAAAAATGAAGAAATAAGATTAATAAAAAACATTAATGATAATAACCATACTAATAATAGTAACTAATAATAATAAAATATAATGAAATAATGACAATAACAAAAACAATCACAAAACCAGTGGCACTAAAAAAAATAAACCAAAAAAACAACAAGAACAATCACAAAAACAACAATTAATAGACCCCGACGTGCACCCAACGCCAGCCAGGACCCTGAGTGCACGCGCAGGCCCCTTTGCGCATCCCTTAGCCCTTGCCCTTAGCCCTTAGCTTCCCTTAGTCTTGGCCCCTTGCCCCCTTAGCCCCTTAGCAGCGCGTAGCCCCTTTTTAGCCGAGCCCCTTAGGTCTCACCTGCGTGATAAGTGCCGTCGTAGGGGACCGTTGGGGGACATCTGACGGTAAGCTCGGGGGTCGCGGTGTCTCAGCGCCCGATGCGTCAGGAGGTCGTCGTCTCCGCTGGTCGTCGAGCCGGACGACGAGGCTGACGAAGACGACACGCCCACGCCCACGCCTACTGGCTCCTCCTCCCCTGCCACGCCCGCGCGGCCCTTCTCTGCGAGAGAGATGAGGTCGCTGGTGGTGTCGCAGCCGCAGGCGTCGGGCGGCCCCTGCTGGGGGGGCGGGGGGCGGGGTCAGCAGGTGGGGTGAAGGGCTTTTTGGTTTACATTTTGTTCGTATACATCAACGGATACGTTATAAGTCATGAATGGTAATGATTGCAGTCGTGATTGACAGAGTCTGGGGTTCGTCTGGTATTTATTTTTGGATTTTTCACAAGTTGCAATCAGTTGAAATTATGGATTGCTATCATGAACAGAGTCGATGGTGAGTCGCATTCATCGAATGAATCATTACGTTATATATCTTCACATATTTATTATGTAATCAGGCAATGCTAATTACATTTATTATGTCCAGTACAAAGTGAAGTCTCTAATTATCATAATATCTAATCACACTCGCTCGCAACATAATGATAAGCCACGTAAACTATAAACAACCACCCTGAGAACCCACGTAAACTATGAACAACCACCCTGAGAACCCATATAAAATATAAAAAAACACCCTGACAGACCCTACCCAAATATGTGAGAACCCATCTAAAATAAACAACCCTGAGAAAACCCATATAAACTATAAAAAAACACCCTGAGAACCCATATAAAATATAAACAATGAGAAATACTAAACTATAAACAACCCTGAGAACTCATTATAAACTATAAAAAACACCCTCGACCACGTAAACTATGAACAACCACCCTGAGAATCCATATAAATATAAAACCAACCCTGAGAACCCACAAACTATGAACAACCCCCTGAGAACCCATATGAAATATAAACAACCCTGAGAACCCATATAAACTATAAAAAACACCCTGAGAAACCCACTAAACTATGAACAACCACCCTGAGAACCCATATAAAATATAAACAACCCTGAGAACCCACGTAAACGATGAACAACCATCCTGAGAACCCATATAAAATATAAACAACCCCTCATATAAACTATAAAAAAACACCCTGAGAAACCCACATAACCTATGAACAAACCACCCTGAGAAACCCCTATAAAATATAAACAACCCTAAACTAAACGAATGAACAACCACCCTGAGAACCCATATAAAATATAAACAACCCTGAGAACCCATATAAACTATAAAAAAAACACCCTGAGAACCCACATAAACTATGAACAACCACCCTGAGAACCCATATAAAATATAAACAACCCTGAGAACCCACGTAAACAATAAACACCCCCCCCCCTTCCTCCTCCTTACCTGAGTCCCGCGTCTTGCTCTGCTGCCCAGGGTCCTCCGCCGCCGTGTACTGCAGGGACGACCTGGTGGGGAGCCCTTGGTGGTCCCTTGTACGTGTAGTATGTGTGTGTAGCGTAGTGGATGCGGGCTGGCCCGCGCATGGTTGCGTGTGGATGGCGTGTTGTATGGCCGATGTTTGATTGTGCGATGCGTGGTTGTAAAGTGGTGGATGTAGTAGTTGTCTCGCAGGCGAGGGGGAAGCTTTCGAGGTGTGAGAGAGTCGGCTGTTCACCTCCTCCTCCGAGTCACTGGAACTCTCGCCCTCGCCATAGTTGTAAGCCGCGCCTGGGGGGACAACGAGCCTTTTCAATTTCGGAGTAAATATAAAGACTATTGTTTCTAGAGTAAATAGGTTAGAAGAAGGGTAACTTGAGTAAATTGTTGATTTGGTTGTCTGGTTCTAACTGTTTCCTTTTTTTCTCTCTTTAATTTCGGTCTCGAGCTGTCTGTGTCTGAGACAGGAAGATAGACATTCAGGCTAATAGTCAGACTGCTCTCTCTCTCTCTCTCTCTCTCTCTCTCTTCTCTCTCTTCTCTCTCTGCTCTCTCTCTCTCTCTCTCTCTCTCTCTCTCTCTCTTCTTCTCTCTCTCTCTCTCTCTCTCTCTCTCTCTCTCTCTCTCTCTCTCTCTCTCTCTCTCTCTCTCTCTCTCTCTCTCTCTCTCTTCAAAACGAATATCAGTGTTTAGGAATGGAGTTGATATGCAGGTATTATAGTATCTTATTTGGTCACACAATAGAAACTTAATATTTAATTTACTTGGAACGTTCTTTGTGTACATATGAAGTAAATGGGCCAAATTTAAAGGGAATATGATATCAATATAAATTTATTATAGTTTATGCCAAAATAACACGTTTTCTATGATGATATACTAACAGAAAACGAGAATGAAAAATGGGTAAATTACGTTCAAATTGCATCTGTGAATAGCCTTACACACACACACACACACACACACACACACACACACACACACACACACACACCACACACACACACACACACACACACACACACACACACACACACACACACGCACACACACACACACCACACACACACACACACACACACACACACACAGACGTAAGCATATTCGTTGCATCAGGAGGGAGGTTAACCCATCCCTCGGAAGAAAAATAAATAAAACTAAAGCAAAAAACATGAAAAATATTCACTCCCGTGACCCTTCTTGTCTGCTTAATTTACTCTATTACGTATACTTTAAAACGTTTGTGTGTGTTTATGTATGTATACTGTATGCATGCTTGTATATACGTACTTGAGAGAGAGAGAGAGAGAGAGAGAGAGAGAGAGAGAGAGAGAGAGAGAGAGAGAAGAGAGAGAGAGAGAGAGAGAGAGAGAGAAGAGAGACAGAGACAGAGAAGACAGACAGAGGTATGCATACAATATACACACAGTGAGAGACATACACAGACAGGCAGGCAGGCATATAAGAAGGGAAGTGACACGGATACATTAATTACAAACAGACATAAACCCCAAAAAAACACAAAGTACAAAGCAAGCAGTCTCAAGCAACGATCTGAAATGTTTCTTTTCTACACGTGCAGCGGCCATAACACGAGCCGAACGTGAGTCGATACCCGTTTCGTACACGTATCAAACGGCCTTCTTCCGGCTCGATCTAAATCTGTCCGTCAGACGCCGTTCACCACTCGAGCTGCATATAACCCTTTCTGCTCACGTAAGGTATGGGTTATTTCTATTAAAGGATCATACTATAAGCCTTTGAAGAACAAGGGGTGAATATTTGTCGTGTTATAAGTGGTAGAAATAAGCGTTGTGTGTTGGTGTGTATTGTGAAAGTCGTTGATGTGTGGTGTTAATATGTTTGAAATAAGAATATGATAAACGTTTAATTACATCTAAGTGATTATAATTATAACTATAATAATTATAAAGTATAATTACATCTAAGTGATTAGAGTGATGCGTTTTTGTTTTATTCGTTCTTGAAAAGGTGATAAAGATTTAAATTGGGAGTTGTTTTCAAAGACTAAGTGATTTCCTATTTCTTAGAACCTTTTGAAGTAAACTCGTAAATATAAAAACAATATTTAGTTCTGATAGTTTATCTTTTATCCATA